TGACGATACGAAACGAAGCGGGGAAGTTAAACGCGGAAAGGAGGAAAGAAGGGAGAGCAATGGAGGGGGAGGGGCAAAGGCGTTGTACAAAGGGCAAGTTAAAAGAAAATCCGACTCGGGCCAAGGACGCAATGACTAACAAAACCGGAGTGAGGATGAGGATGAGAGCGTGAGCAAGGGGAGGGAAGGGTGACTTCACAGGACAAGCGAAGTCCTTTGGTAGGGCGATAGGGCAGTTTGAAATTCGAATGTAAATAATAGTCCCTTTTGTTCTTTTTTTCCTTTTCGGAAGCGCTTCTGTTTCATTGAGCCGCTCTTGTTGATGTTTTCAAAGGCTTCGTCTGCGCAAAGGTAACCCTGCGGGAGTAACAGACCCCTCTTGTTCTTGGAGGCGTCAGCCTCGCAGTAACCATTCGCAATATATTTATTTTCATCTATTGAGAAACATCGCATATACACACCTATCTTCTACAAAAAACAACAAACAACTATATTTGTATTGGCAAAGGAGTTCTAAGCCTTTGTATGTACAGTAGATAGGGACGGAAAGATTTGAGGTAACTCAAGGCAACGGACAAATGTTCATTCTGACAGACATTCAAAACACGATCTTTTATCAAAGAAAATTCTTACAGATGACCCTGTGAACTTCTCTCCTCATTCAAACTTATATCATGACTCACCCATTGTGGTAGGGATTTATATTTATGTTCAAGACGTGCGGCAAATAACATCGGGAACTCACCTGCAAAAAGAAGTAACAGGAGTCATAGTCACAAAACCAACAACACGTTCAAAATATCTAGCAATGGTAATTAGTCATCAAATAACAGGTTTTAAACATTTTAACACTAAAATACGTTAAATGTATTTGACAGGTGATCGCGATTCATCGTTTGACACTACGCAAAATTATTTTAAAGAAATACATAATATCTATAGAGGTAAACAAAAGGAAGTCGTGAAGAGTTGTCTTGAGCAATTCTGCGCAACTTCAACGTCTTCAACAATATATATTTACGATTAAGCAAAACGGACCCACACTATCATTTCTCTCTCAGATAGCACTGCTAGGGTATCTGTTCCCTTCCTTTTGGTGATTCTGGCACTCAGTCAAAAATCGCAGTCTAACAAATTTCGGATTTAGTGCTTTTGTTCGGAGGGCTCGGAGCAGAGAACCGCAAAGAAATGGAACCGCCGACACAGCACGAGGCGAGACGGCCGTCTGTCCTTTGCTCCATTTTATAGTCACCGGAGACAAAAAACGCCATCAGAACGAGCATCGGGAATTGGGGATTCATGGAGGTGAACGGAAAATGAAGTGGAGCTAAAGGAATGGCGAATGAGGAGAACTCGATGGTGAATGTGGGGCAATGAACGGAGGAGAGGGAGGAGCAGCTGCGAATGGAATTGAGAAAGCAACGACAGAGTCCGGTGGGGAATAGGAACGTGACTAACCAACGTCACTCCGGCTGCGGATGAGACCAAGCAATCGTTATCGCACAGAGGAGGAACATTGGGAGTGCCGGTCAGTAGAAGGGCTTGGGTAATATCAAGGTAAACCACCCCAGCCATAACAAGCACCCCGCCATTCGTAGAATTTAATATCTCAAATTTGGTCGAAGTGTGTCACCTTGTTTCTACCCCAAACCTTCCATATGCGAGGATCAGACCGTAATATGTAGTAAAATGATTATCCTCAAATTGACCAAAATCGATATATTAATATTCACGAATAGCTACGACAGGGTTGCTACGGATTGAGTGGTTTATCTTGTCACTACCCCAGTCCCTTCAATTGTTCACGAATGCGCGCGTTAATAATTAAGTGGGGGAGGGTGAAAATACGCGTAGTGACTTGAATAGAACAGAGGGTCTGCTCAACAAATGTGCGAAGCAGGAATAACAGTGCTGAAAGTGATCATTAACTCAAAACATATCACGAACGTAACTACATCATACAAACATATGGCTCAATAGAATTCTGACAACGCTTCAAAATATGACTGAAAATATGACAATTTCATTACGTATGTTGTATTCCGGGCGTCTGCTTATCTTCTCAACTTCGTACGACGGAAAACGAATACGTAATAACAGTTACAGCTTAATAATACGACAATTAAAAAAACATGACAAAAATGCGAGAAATTAAAATAATATAACTGAATGTGACCAATTTACATCACTGAATACTTGTTTCCGAGGTTCTAGCCGTAAATCTTCCAGGCATGGCTCAAAACCTTACCGTGAAATCCCATTTTGTTGTGCAGAAACACCCCATTCTTCTCCACTGTTGGATTACACATAAAAAAAATTGTCAGACCGAAA